CCCAATACAATTGCCCACGGAAGCAAATTCCAACAAAATCCACTCATTAAAACCGCGATAGTCCCGCTTTAGCGATGTCAGTGTCCCTTAAGTCTCACAGCAATTACTACTCGTAGAAAAGGACGATTCTGTCTCCAGAATTCACATTGTCATAGTTTCTGAGTCTCCGATCCACGTCAACGAGTACAAACTAGCCTGCCAGACAGAGATTCTGCTCTAAACATCTTTTCTTCCCCCTTCGGGCATACTTTGTGCTTCCAGCTAGGCTCCGCTGGGGGAGACATCTTCTTCCGCGGTTTGAGCTAAGCTCTCAATGCCGTACCACTATCTCGAGGATACGGTACAAGCGGGGTTATACACGACATTCCATGACACCTTTTTTACTGATTTTCTTTTGTGCTAATTTATGTTTTACATTCCCTATCAGTAGCTCATCTTTTTTTACATGTAACGTAGTCTGATTTTAGGCTTCACTCATCTCTTACACGGTGTCCCTACATATGACCCCCCAAGTGCACACACCTCACTCCTTTCCCTTAGTTTCGTCTACTACTATCGCGCCTCCAAAACGGATCTTTTGCTCCCTTCGACTTTTTTCCGTTTGTCCGCTTGTCCACCATTTCCTCCCTCTACTTCAGTCGAACCCACTTTGTCACACCCCTCTCGTTCCATCTGTCAGTACCATAGATTTGCACCCATCTCATCCGCATCACCATGTTTCCCAGTCGTCCACTCCTCGTACCATACCGTTGACTTTCTCCTTCCTGGCCTCACTCGATCTCAGCTTGCCTGGTTGACCTGCGGCCAAAACGACGGCACTGCTTGGTCCTCTGCCTGCTGCTTTATAACATGCTTCGCCGACTTGTTTTCAAGGCTTCAGTTGCCAGGACTTCTTGGGGCCAAGATACCGCAATCTACTTAAACACTTACAAGCTGAGCCTGGCCTCAAGCCGACGAGCGTGGGTTAGAGGGGGATGAAGGGTGTGAGGGTAGGGGACAAAGGAAAAATGTGGGATATATTTTTTCTCCTTTTAATAAAAATTGTTCAGATTTATGTGCTCTACTCCAGTGCGTGTAAATGGTACCGGAGAAAAAGGCGTGTGCACCACGGAGCTGGCCCAAACACATTTTTTCCCCACCAGAGAGAGCCCTTGTCGTCACGGCCCAGGGAGCCCGCACTTTTCTCGCTCGACCGGCCGGCAGCGGAGTCTGAAAGACACGATTCTGCCGTCCACCTCCACCCGTGCTGTTGCGGACGACCGACTTGTGGCTGTGGGCGCGGTTGTGGGTGCGGGTGTGGGTGCAGTTGTGGTTGCGAGGCTCAACCACTTGAGATGGTCGGCTGCTTTTTCGGCCCACCTGCTCGCGCCTACCACACCAGACCTCGACAGGCCCGTGCATGTAGGCCAGTCCAACGCCTCCCTCCCTCGCAGCAACACGTCATCTGGCCTTTGAGCCTTTCATGATGCTGACGACTTGGAAGTTGTCTACGCGTTCGGAGCTTCAGGCACCAGATCATGCTAGTTTATGTAGGCTGGCCGCAAGAGATGACTAATGTTGGCTGTATGTACCAAGAATAGCTTGGTAACATTGTCAGGGAAACTTGAATTTGGTTTGCTAGTGCACGATGCTCGGTTCAGCTTCGTGAATGCTTACGCTTTGTGTGTATGCGATAACCAAAAGTTAGTTGGCAATTTCGAGCCCCAAACCAAACTCTAGAGTAATCAAGTCTTCTCATTTTACTTGGACAGTATTCCTGTCCTCTCTCTCTTTCTTTCTCTCCTACTAATTCCATTCAGCAGCCAGAGCCAAATCTTGCTTAGTTTCTTACAATCATTCTTCTTATTCAGGATGTTCTTTGTTTTGTTGATCCCTGATCCCTGTGAAGTATTCATATCTGGCAAAATGCTGGATTTTAGACGACGCAATCTGATGTCCTGTAGTGATCGTATGTTCGGTCACCTCCAATTTTTGGATCCATAGATCTTTGCAGGCTGTAAAGTGTTCTGATAACCTCTTCTGAATGGTCCGACAAATTTTCCCCACAAATACACCATCACATGAGCTCAAAACCTTATAGCAACCTGTACTGCAGAAGGCGTCGGAATGTTCTCTAAAAGAAGGCATGACCGAGAAACGCATTAGTATTTCATTATTCATGGTCCTGGCTTTCCATTTTATCAATGACTGGCTGGACGGTGGCATTAGGAATTCGCCCAAAAAGTTGTCATATTTCTTATTTTGTTGTGAATAATGGTTCCCTCTCTTCCTATTTCTCAGTATTTTAACATTTTAAAGGATTAATCTTAATAGATAATTGTTTTCAACTAAGATTTTTATTAGCCTCTCTGCCTCCTGATGAGCTTTTCGTTATTTCTCGTAATAATGATTTCTGTCTCTGACGGCGTCCGTCACATGACGAGCGAAAGTTAAGCACGTAATCATCGGGATGGAAGGACGGTGAGTCGAGGTCTTCTTCGCACAATTCAACAGTCACAAGTCTAAGGTAGCCCTCCTTCGGTATCCGGTGGGGCCACCTGCCTTCTCAAATTAAATATTAAGTATGCCAATATCAATCTACTAAGGGTTTCTTTGAAACTCCGCTTCTCTTCATATCTCAGATTGACATTTGGCAAGAACTTATCAAATCGCTTTATATCTTATGGAGTTTTGTTAGTGTTGAGTCTATTTAACATATAGATAGATAGACTGATCCTAGGCTTCCTAGGCTTGAATTCGTTTTGAGAATGGTATATTCATATTGAATGTGGTTCGATGCTAAAGGTACATCTTGAGGCCACATAAGCTGATAAAAGATTGATAGTTGCATTTATCAAGTGTAATATGGATTGGCCTTACATACTGTGTAGGAGTAAAATTTTTGTCGTATAAGATACAATAGCTGTGCTCTATTCACATTAAGAGAGCTGATGAGATAGATCAATGAGAGATAGATAGGCAGACCATCCTGGATTAGAATAACTTTTGGGAAGCAAGGCTATGTAAAATTAAACTCATATGCTTTTGGGAAAATTCAAATACCAACCGTTCATCGTCTCCGATCGTGTTCCCACAATATCCCTCATCTCATATATTCTTCAGTTGTGCCACTGCATGAATTCAGTCCAACCAATTTTTCCTTCCTTTACAGAAAGTCTGGATTTTTGGAGTTGTTTTGACGGGTTGTCTAAGGATAGAAGACGATGTAGTCACATCCTGACGGGCATTTGTCGACACTGGCTGGTCACGATTCCCGGCCTAGAAGCGGAAGCTTCATACGCTGGGAAAGACCTATTTTCTCGCTGCTCATAATGACCACAGTTTTAGCCTCTTACCTGTTTGGTCCAAGCAAGAATTCAACTCAAGCCTCAGAAGGTGTACTTGGCAGGCGAAGATGACCGGCCGGAAGCATACATGCATGACAAATCACTTACCCATACAAGGGATCATCGAGGCAATCATTTGTGATGATGCTAAACCTTCGAGAATACTAAGAGCGGTGATCCATGCATTCTAATAAGGCACCACAAGCCTCCTCAGAGTTTGTATCAAAAAGCACGCTCATTCACGATAAGCACACCAATTAATAAAGATTTCAACCCATCGTAGAGCTCGTTTTCGCAATTTAGTCGTGTTTTTAATCAGAATTTTAATACGTAAATATGAATACCAAGTTGCGTTGTGGCCTCAGGTTTAGTCTCAGTCTCCTTTTGCTGTATGTTGTTGGCTTGATCTTTATTAGCAATTTGGTCGAAAGGATAGGGAGATCTTGTGAAATATATCAATTAATATATCCTCTGCCAGAGTAGTCATGCTAATTTCCGGCATCGGATACCTGACTTGGTACATTTCCAGAGGTTTCGCCAGCATCCTAGTCGGCATCATCAGTGATAGAGTCAGTCCGTGACGCAAAAGTATAGATCATCAAAATTACAAATAAAGGCTATTCGTTTGACCCATTTTCTCTCCCTCCTGTCCTAGTTACTGGCGGTAATTCCTCATCCCTGAGCCCCACACTATATGGCCAATTTGTCTATCTACACAGAATTGTTTCCTCGCTTTTTCCAGTGTCCTTTAAGAGTGTGCCAATTAGAGTAGATTTAGTAAATAAATTAAATAAATAAAATAGAATCTGAAGATAATGTAGTAAAATTATCCTCCTTACCGTGATGGCCATACTTAGCATCAAACAACAATACATCAATGGCAAGTGAAGCCAATCCAAGAAACCGTCCGTGCTATTTGATTGTCGTACAATTCCATAAATCCCTTATCACAGTATTCCGCCCCACAAGTACGACCCAAACAGCCAAAATTAAATCTTCCTTAACTACCCCCTTTTCCTTCCTCCCAATTTTCAGGCTTTTCGTTCCGAACTAATATCTTTACACAACATTTATAAGTTGTTGTTGCCCACTGTTGTGTAATATGGGAGTATTTTACACAATAATTCTATGCTTGAAAAATAAATGATAATGAGACATTACAAGGTACGCTCTGTGAAGGCGCTCTAAAGAAACAACAAAATATATGCAGCTAAAGATAACTGGAAAATCCAAAAGCCCTTTTAAACTTAACTTGAGACAAATCTTTGATAAAAAAAGTAACATAAAACATACAACTTAATGTGCCTTATGCATAAAGTAGAAAAATATCTGAATTTGTTATGTAATTAAAAGTTTATTTAACTTCGTGATATTAATAGACCAAAAGTTTACTTAGGTATAGGATTTATTCTTCTTTCTGCCATCAATGTATTCCAACATTTCAGTTCAAGGGGCTTTTCAAGTTCTAGCGCCCACTCGGGCGGCATCCACAGGTTATAGAAGATGTGAGCTTCTGTACAACCTCAATTTTACATTTTCTCAATCGATCCATGAACAATGGAATCGTGTTTGCCATTCATTTTAGCAAATAATTACATGGCAATTTTCCAGAACCGCCTAGTCAATGAAGGCTCATCACCTTCTAAACAATTGGCTAGATGCATAAATAACTGTTTTTATATTTGAGAAAATGGTGGGGATAAGTAAGATATTTATTTTAAATGGGTTAGTCAATGAAGAAGTGATATTAACTTTACATAGGAGTAATAAAGGAATAATTAGCCCCGGGTCATCAAGAC